ATACGGTGGTAAAAGCTGCCTGTTCGAATTCACATCCAAAACACTTACGGTCTCCTTATTTTCAGACTTCGAAGCATCCAGTCTAGGTAGACCGCATCCTTGGAGGATGCAGCCCAGGATTTCGAACAGAGCCTTTATATTTGAAAAACTTTATTAGCTTTAAACATGAACTTCATAGATTCAACAGCTGTTTTTCTAGATCTGAAACAAACCGTGGGATATAAAAAGTCATTCTTCTATCCTCTTTCATGAACAAAAGTTATTGAACATTGCTGTTTATCGATAAACATGCTGTTTATCGTTGTAAACATTTTTAAAAACAGATTAATTAAGCTGTAACCTTTACGAATCCGCAAAATGCACCCAAATATAAACCAGAGCTGTTGAAGTCAATAAATATCTAATAGGAATATTGAACAGAAGTATATATATCAACTGGACTATTTCACACTTTTTGTTGACTCTCTAATCATCAGAAACACCATAGAACAATATTACTTAACCTCTTGATATCTTTATTGAACCTCAAAGCAAAATTGAACAGACTAATTAAATTAGATTAATTTTTGATTTTATGTCAAAGCTTCATAGTTTGCAACAACTATCTTCAGATTGACATCTGTGTTTTTTGGGGAAATTAAAATCCTATATGTACTTTAAGTACATACAGACAAACAATACATGTGGTTGCAAGATTATTAACGAGAGGCGTGTTGCCTTACTTTTTTATGAAGTGGAACTTTTGTTTTCCTCTAAACCACGTATACATCATACACTCTATGAAGTTCATATACACATAGAAAGAACACATATAGTATAATTTAAGATTAAAACAATACAATTTTAAAGTTATTATTTTTAATACTGCTTAAGTACTGTTCTTGTCTGTTTTCTTCATGCAGTGCTGATGATCCGGAGGATCATATTAGTAACAATTATCTCTTTAGTCCTGTTCGGATTCACCCTCCCTTTTTGTACAAGAAGGATGGGTAAGAAAAAAAAACTATAATACAACATTATTAAGCTGTTGTTTTGATTCAGACCAACTTTTTTAATGTTAAATTGATATTTTACTTGTATTTAAAAAATGATCAAACTGAATTTACTGAATTACCCCTCAAAAAAGTTTCTTTAATATTTGTGTTTTTCTTTTAGAGAAACGCTCAGATAGGTAAGAAATCTCAGTATATTCATGGGATCTGTTGCCTTCATTCGATTTTCCATTTCTTTCTTTTTACAGTTTAGTTTCAGATTTTACACCACTGTTGGAGAGGGAACATAATTTGGGATTGTCAGACTCTTTTTCACTTTAAAAACCTGAAGATTTGCTTTTTCTGGCATTCTATTTGCACAAAGGTCTAAAGTGACACAAATAACTTCTACAGTTGGTGTTGAAAATTAGTATCAGTATTTTTTTAAACAGTCTTTTTAAATCCTCAGTTCAGTATTGCGAATTTATTTATTACAGACATAGTTATGTGTCATCTGATGACCAGAACTGACTATTTTAAAGTATGACCAGCTCTCACCACTGACCACCTCATTGGTATCTCCATAATACAATTTTCCAAACAAGAAACACACTGTAGACAACTGTACAACCTTTATACAGTAACCTTGATTCTGTTACTTAGAGATGTTTTTGAGGGTCATTGGTCAGTTCATGAATGCATTTAATAAAGAGTGGATCATTTATAATAAACTTTGATACATTAAATACTAATAATTAGAGGCCGTAATTTTTACTTCTTCTGTATCTAAAATGTGTCTTTTTAAAATCTCCATTTTATTAAACACACAATGTATAACTTTTTTTCCCCTTTGTTGCTTTAGATCAAAAACTGAAATATCAGGTAGATTAAATAAAGTTCCTTACTCATCAACAAAAAGTGATTTTTTTTTTCACCCCTTTGCCAGGCAGCAGTAATAATAGCTTTTTGCTTTTATGCTTTCTTATATAAAATATCTCTTTTTGATCTTTTCAGTTGAACAAATGCCAATGTTCATTTTAAACAGCAAAGAGGTTTGTTAAAGTACCCTGTGCTAAAATAATAAAATGATGCATTAAGCAAATGTTATTTTTCCAATGAAAATGTCCTTCTCCATGTTATTACATCATTTACAGACAGGATTTAATGAACCTACAGGGCTGCTAACTGCAGCTGCAACACTGGTAAGCTGTTAGTATTTGTGAAGGAACTACTGTATAACGTTCAAGGTAGCTTGACCACTAGGGGGAGCAATAGGTGAAAAAGTCGAGCAAAACATTTCTACAGGGATTTTAATAAATGCCTTTTTGCTTTCACAGAGTAACAACTGAATGCCAGAGCCTCAGACAAGTGAACTGCAGCCAGACTGAGTGTAAATAAAAATCATTTAGATGATCCATTATGTTTTATCTGCTGTGATTACTAATACTTGCATTGTAATTTTGTTTTCCCAGTTTTATTGCCTCTTTAAGGATTTTGTAACAGTCTTAATATAAAAGCTTTGCCTGAACTTACTAAATACCATAAACTGATTTAAACTGACCAAAAAGTTACTCCCAGATATTTTCAAATATATTGTAATAAATCAAACTGATTAAATGATTCCTTTATTGGGGAGTGGCAGCCTAGTTGTTAGGGCATAGAGCTTGGAATCCTGAGGTCCTGAGATCGAGCCTCACTCCCACAGACTGCCACTCTGGGTCTTTGAGCAAGACCCTTAACCACACACTGCTCCCGGGGCGCCGCACGATGGCAGCCCATTGCTCCCCAAGGGGATGGCTTAAATGCACAGGTAAATTAATCCAATCTGAAATAAAGTTCAATTATATTATTATTTTAGAACTGCTATGTTAAACAGTATGTATATTTTCTTTTTGGTGAATTATTTTTTTTTATTTAAAAAGTTTTTTGTTGCTTTCTGGATAAATAAAGTTATTATGGACATAACTCTGGTGTATTTTATTTGTAGGAATATTTAGCCAAAAAAAAAAACAGTTTACTAACATTGCAAATTTTTTCTTGAGTTACATCATGCACTACATATCTTTAATTAAGATATTTGTTTAACCTTTTTTCTTTTAAATCTGTGATCAAAAAGCTGCCTCTGAGGACATTTAATAGGAATCAGAAAGGAAAGTCTAACCAACAGGATTGACTGCATTACTTAAACATTTTAAAGTGAGAACATGCAAGGGATTCAGAACTGAAACATAGAAACCTTATTAACATTTCTCTCAGTAACGTTAGTGGTACAAAAAATAGATGGTTCCCTTTTTGGTATGGTTAATCGATACTGTGGTCTGAAACACCTATGCATTTTGTATGTGGTGTGTTTATAAGGTATATAAAGTACTTCTTCCTGTGCCAAGGGGGAGGGTCCACTTCTGATCATGTGGATTATTTTAACAGTAGATTCTGAAACTTACATCGGTCATAGTCAGATTAGACAGGAAACATACCAATGTTTTCTATTCAGAGCATCCAAAGCTTCATCATGGCTTTAGACCTGCTGTTCTTCATTCTCCTAAGTAAGTTTGAGTGTCTTATTCTTGATATTGTGTTATTTAAAATGTTTTAGAAATTGAAAATAAAAATATGCATTTATAAAAGATATTCATCTTGCATCTACATTTTCTTTTCAATATCTGTTTCACAGATTTGTCTTATGAAGCCAGAGCTAAAGGTCAGTTTCAGTTAAATGTCTGTGTGGTAAATATAATTTTTTTTGCTGATCAAATCTGACAACTAAATGCTTCTAAATTTTCAGCTCTTCCTCAACCTAAAGTAGAGGTGGACCGACTTCTGATCACAGAGACTGACTCGGTCACATTAAAGTGTTCAACCTCACATGTTAGTGTTGATCAGTGTGTTTTCTACATTGAAAACAAAAAGATGTCTGCAGCCTCCTCCTGTTCGGAAACACTGACAGGATCTGAACTGCTGAGGATCACAGAGAATTTATCATCCGCTGAGGTCAAAGTTAAATGTTTCTACAGTGTAAAAGATGGAGCTTTAAATGTTACATCATCAGACAGTGAATCAACCATCATCTCCATAAACAGTAATATTATTGTTAAAGAGTCTTAAAACATGTTTACAGATATACGTAATATTCCTCACTCATATTTTACATTTTCTGCACTTTATTTGTTCATGTTTTCAGATCTTGTTCCACCTACACTAACAGTGAACCAACCGGTGATCACAGAGACAGACTCGGTCAATTTAGACTGTCAGCCTCCATCTTCTGTTCCTGTTACTGATTGTTATTTCTTCATTGGGGGAGGAAGTCAAGCTCGGAGGTTTATTTGTCAGAAAACACTAAAAGGAAGAGAGATCTTGTCTTTAGCAAAACAAAGGTCACCTGCTAACTTAGACCTAACATGTTTTTACCTTGACGGACATCAATCTCCAAACAGTAACTTGTTCACCATCATCATACAAAGTGAGTAAATATACCTTTGCTGGCCTAATCATGATTACTGTCTTGATAAAATACTTAATTTATATTATTTTCATTTTATTTTTAGTTCCTCCACCTGAGCTGACTGTGACTCCACAGCTCATCACAGAGACAGACTCAGTCACATTGAACTGTGGGACTCCATCATCTGTTTCTGTGGATAAATATTTTTTATACTTCATAACATCAAAGATAACTAAAATCATCTCCTGTGAGCAGACAATGTCAGGACGTGAGCTCCTGATGATGACATTTCAAACTTCCCCTGCTGAGGTGGAACTAACATGTTATTACACTGTGAAGAAGACAGATGGAGGACAGCACCAGTCTCCAGACAGTAACATACAATCAGTCATCATTAACAGTAGGTTATTAACTCTACCATCATATAAGGTCTACCATCTATATAGATACAATATTAGTCTGTAAAATAAATGTTATTTCAGCTTCATAAGGTTTTATATTATGACATTCTTACAAATAAATGTTTGTATCATATGTTTTTATTTATCACATGGAGATCTAAAGGCACTGTCTTTTTTTTGCAGAAGTTAAAGAATTAGATTCAACAACAAGTCAGGGAGTCTCAACTTTCAGTGTGACTGCTGGTAGTATATTTTTTCTAACACCAGTCCTGACACTTGCTGCATATATATGATTTTATTCACTGTTTGTTGCTTTCATTTATCAGGTCAAACATCTGACACAACAATCAAGGAGACAGACATTTATTTTACTACTTCCCCAGCAACAGATGGAACAACAGGTTAGTCTAAACTTTAAAATAAACTTTAGCTGAACTTTAAATGGAAGTATATTTTAATTTGTCAGAGATGCTGCAAATTACAGCTTTGGTTAAAATATTGCACTTGCTTATCCAATTGTTCTTTGGCTCTTGTAAGGTGTAGACTTCAGCCACTGCTGACATTTTGGAAACAACTATTTTTTGAAAAACCCCTGAAAACCATAGCCTGTATATACCGGTATTTATAATGTTATGTTTTTCTCCATCAGATCAAACATTTGACAGGACATCAATGAAAACAGACGGTTTCATTTCTCATTCCCCAGCATCAGATAAGCCTACATTAAGCGGTACAACTAATGATAGAGACTTGCATAAGTCCCTCCATACAGGTATGTTCTGTTTTTGCTTTTCTTTCACACCTATATACTTTACAATAAAGGGGTCATAGAATGATTATATATATACATATATATATATATATATATATATATATATATATATATATATATATATATATATATATATATATATATATATATATATATATATATATATATATATATATATATATATATATATATATATATATATATATATATATATATATATGGATGGGGTTTGAACTTCTCTGTACAGTACCGTACGTCCATTTCACCCACTGAACTATCATTATTCATCTATGACTATGTAAACTCGGTTTTGTATTCTATGACCCCTTTAAATAATAAAGGAAAGTTACTAGTTTGTAAAATGCATTTTAAAAGGCCTTATAAATTGGTGAAAAACACTACATGTGCCTTTTTTTCTTTCTGTCCCTGTCATTCAAAAGTCTGGGCACTCTGCTGCACTATTTACCAGAATAGTGAAAAACAACTGAAAGTTTAATTGCATGTTTCATAAAATTAAATTAACCAGATCTTATCAATTTCCACTACAAACTTCTCACAATAGTTTACTGTACTTTAGGCCTGGTCTTTCAAACCAAACTGTAAGGTTTGTGGGGTACATTGCTATCCTATTAGCTCTGCCCAGTAACTTTGTATAAGACAGAGATCAGATTATTGTGATGACTAATCCATGCATTTTATTTTGAGACATTTTGTAACAAATTTTACAGTTTACTTTGGGTTGTCATACATTTGAAATCCCCTTTGTGTTCATTAACTTTTTTCCATTATTTTGTCTTGAGATATTGCTTCAAAATGTCCGCACTGTTTTATTTCCTCATGAATGCAACTATTTGCAAAGTCCACCATTCATTTTAGCAGCAAACAATGTTTTTGTTCCTTATTCAATTTGCAAACGGAAATGTTATTTTTTTGCATTCATTTTTGATTAAATTCTTGTTCTGTGCTTAGTGGTTTTCAGAACATGTTGGTACAGTACAATTTAACAGCTTGAACCAGCATTTGCCAACGTCTTTAGCTTTGGTTCTGGGTTTGACTCCAACAGTTGACACTAAACACATTGATCTGTCCTCCTTCGTGAAGACTAATGGTTGACCATCCTCATGCTCTTTCTGTAAGATTTTTTAAGTAAATTCATTTGTCACCTTTAGGCATAGGTAAATTGTACCCAAGGATGAAGTAGAAAAGTTGAGGTTAGTCCATATCTATGCCCAGAATTTTTTTTTTTTTACATACTAAACTGTTTATGGAAATAATTCAATTTAAAATGAAGTATCTGGTTTCTAATCGATACGTGTTCATTGGTAAAGTAAATTAAACTAACATTCAGGGATTTTACAACTCAAAATACTTCAAAATATCTTTAATCTGCCCATGGTTACAAAATCAGTCAACATTTCTGTGCAAATTGTTCTTTGCATTGTTTTTACCAAACAAGAATATCTATTTTTAACTTTGTAATTCCCAAAGTAAAGGTTACTTAATAAGCTGCTATATCTGTGTTATTCTCTACCTTTTTTTTTCTTTTTCTTTTTTTTTTTTTACCATTTGGGAAGTAAGACTGACTCACTGTGGTATTGTTTTCCTAAAAACAGAACAGAAATTTCCTCCTAAATGGTTGTCAGTTCCACCTGGTGTTGGAGTAGGTGTGGGAATGTTACTCATAGTGGGACTTCTCTGTTCCAGAAGGAGAAGTGGTGAGTATTGACACCAGTGATGTCTCTGAAAGTGTTTCTATGCCATTAAAGTTACCACCCATTTTTGACACCCTTCATCAATCTTTCATCCGTTTGATACTCATGCAGTCTTGGTCAACTAACATCTGCCCTTTATAGACATACATTTTATATTAGTTTAATGTTGTTAATAATGTTTTGTAATTTTTCTAGTTTGGAGGAAACTAATTGTTTGATAAAATATAATTTGGCTCCATATGGTTCCTTTTTGTGGACTTGCGTAAACTATTTAATCCACACAAAACCCGCGTGGAGAAGGGCAGTTAAGCGGCGCGCGGTGAGAGCATTCACAGCTCCTTCTTCACCTTATGCTGCTATGTGACATTTGCTCAAGGATAAATATTTAATCATGAATTATTATTATACTGTATATATATATAAATATAAGCCCACATAGTAATTTTCTATAGTGGGCTAATACACTTGGAGCCCGTGTTTCCAAACAAGGCTTATATAAGACTTTTACATTTTTGCAGCTCCAGACAGATATTTCTTTGGTCCAGTATGGCTCTTTTAGCTGTTGGGTTGCAGACCCCTACTCTAGTGTGAGCAGACACCTTGTGAATAAGTGTCAAAAGGTCCTCAGAAAAACTGAGTGAAAGTTTGGTTGCCTCAGATTTAAAACTGTTTTGTGGTTCCCATGAACTAGATGACTGAGAATTAACAAAGGTATTATTAGCTAAATATTAGTCTGCTTGCAGGTTTAATGTGTTGCAACGTTTTGTTGACTGAAGTTTAAAAATTATGTTTTTTGTCCATGTAACTATTTTGCAATGCACTCTGGCTGTTAAATATGATAATGCCCCTGGCATGATTCACAGTTGACACAGTGCTCTTAGCATTGTAAGCCATCTTCGACTACTCGTACTTTTTGTAATTGTGGCAGCACACTCCTCCTCATCTAATCAAGCTGTATTTTTTTCCAGATTGTATTTGGCTAGTGTATGTACTCAGCTCCAAGTTTGAAGCTGAGGCTCATTGCATGTTTTACACCCTCTCAGTCAATGGCTTTTAAACTGTCTTGGCTTCTGAAAGTGACACAAGTGCTGGAGCAGCTTTCAGCTAAGGATAGGTTTCTCTTTCAATGGTTCTTTGGTTATTCATCAATGCTTCAACTCCTTCCATATCATATTGAAGGCATCATTTAGGCCAGAAACTTACCGACATGTTGGCTTTTGCAACAGACCATTCATATCTATCAGAGCTGAAAATAGTTTTTTTTAAAGTGTCAAGATACAGCATAAAAATAGTCTTAACAAAGCCTTGACCTTCATCCTACTGTGGATTTAATGAATCTTCTGTAAAATAATACATTTACAAATAAACAGGTCAAAAATAACCTGTCATGTTTTTTAATGATCAGTTAAATATTTAGACATAGGAATGCCAGGGGCATATAAATGCTGCAGTTTTTGTGGTTAGGGTGCAACTTGCTTTGGCACTTATTTAAACAGTTATTTATTTTTATGTTCATATTCAAACTATTATGTAGGCCTACAATTTGGACCCTTTGTTTGATTTGAGAATGTCCAATATAAAATTCAAACTCATGTACACTATTGATGTTTTTAAAGCTCTTTGTTGTTTAGCTTTGATGCCTATGGGGAAAACAGCTAAATACATTTTTTAAAAATCCTTAAGAAATATTTTTATTTTTTATTTAACCTTTATTTAACCAGGAAGTCCTATTGAGATTCAGAATCTCTTTTTCAAGAGAGACCTGCCCAAGGTAGCAGCCAAACCACAGGAAGTTAAATAACATTAATGCCCATGAAGATGAATACCTCTGATCAAAACTTGGAATTTTCCCCTTGAATTCAACTGCCTATTTGCCTTCTTTTTTATAGAATCATCACATTACATAGTGTAACCAATTCAATGATAGCATTTTAAGAAAATTATACTTCAGGTCAATTGAATTGAATGCTCCATAAAATTTGTTTTATTATATGTCTCATGCATTTCGTTTTTTTGTTTTCTCGTTTTGTTATTTGTCAGATAAATATGCACACAGAAGGTAAGACCCTTTTCTCATATTCTGAACTTTTATATTAAGTTTATCTTTAGCTTTTAACTGCAGGAAATCTTCTTGTTCTATTTAATCATGATTGAAATTAGACATGTCAAGTCTGTACTACTGTTTTTTCCCCCAGGATTAAACTATTTATTAGCTGAACTGTGACAAAAATTACACAACTGAAACAACTCTTTAGTTGTTAAATTCTAGAATTACATTTCAAGAATTGCATTGCTTAAAGTCGTAGTCATATTTAAATGTCAAATCATTCTGGCTTAAACATTTATATAAATGTACTCTTTACCAGATGATATTGTCCCAAAAGTTAGAAAATTTCTATTCATAAAGATCCTGTAATAAATCTATAGGTTTTTTTCTCATTATTTTATGCAGGCCTGTTAATTATATGTCAGCTTGTATACCTAAATTCTGCCAATCATATATCAACGATCATCTGTCAATCAAATTTTTTCGGTCAGAGCATCTTGATTCATATGTTGCAGCTACTATGCGCTTCGGTTGAAATAAGAATCATTTACTTTCCCATTGAGTTCCGTCCCAGTGCTCACAGGGAGGAGCGTGTCTTCGGCAGGTGTAGAGCTAACAGAACTGGCAGCGTTGCGAGGCAAGGGCTCAAACATGTACGGCTGTAAGCTTTCTACACCAAACAAAGCTTCTCCCGCTCTCACGTCCTCTTCCACAACAACTTCATCCCCGCCTACCTCCTCTAATTAAAAAAATGTATGATAAAGGAGACTCATCCACAACCTCCAACACAAAACTCTCCTCCTCTTGCATGTTTCCGCTGGCCATAGCCTTCCTTGACAGTGTCGTTTCAAAGTCACTAATTTAGTGCTACTTGTAACGCTACCAATGTAATTTCCCATTGGAAACCTACTAGCACCAAGTTGCTAACTGGTTAGCAGGATGATTCCGAGACACCAGCCACAATCAAACTTGCTTGCGAACCTTCTGCCACAACAACCCCGTCCTCTTGATAAACGACCAATCACAGTCACTTTATTCACTCGTGTAAAGTCGTGCACCAGTCGGGAGAATTTGGAAAGGCAACATTTGGAACAGTCTTTTGCCTACGACTTTAAGGTGGTATCATGTTGAAGTAGCTTTTTAAGCATGCTTCTAATGTTCAGTTTTAAAAAAAACTTTAACAATGTTTTTTGGTCAAATTGTTATTTTTTCCAAATGATTTCTTTGCCTGGGTGATGAATTTTCTCCAACTGGTTCTAGAATTGCACTGCTTAAAGTAACTGTGAAGATTCATCTCTGCAGCCCAGATATTGAACTGTCAGAACTGTGATGTCATCATCTGTGTTGTTGCTAAGCAAACAGACACAACAGCCAAATGCATATGTGGCAATAACTGGGGGTTTTAATCATACTTCATAACTGTAAGAAGATGGTCACAGGAAGCTTGAGAAGCCCTGCAATTTTTTTATGAGGCTACAGAATGGGATGCACTGTCAGCCACATAGAGAGGACATCAATGCACTAAGTGTGTGACTGACTACATATAATTATGTGTAGCTAACACCATCCCCACCAGAACAGTGAAAAGCTTACCAAATTATAAACCATGGATCACAAGTGATCTGAAGCAACTGCACAACAACAAAAAAACAAGCCTATATGAAGGGAGACAGGGAATTAATGAGGAGTATACAGAAGTAACTTAAGATCAAGGTAAGACAAAGCAAGAAGGCATACAGGAAGAGGCTGGAAAGCAAGCTCCAGCAGAACATGTATATGAGTGGCAAGGAGATCACAGGGTTTAGGCAAAAGGGTGATCAGACAGATGGAAGTCTGGACAGAGACCCTGAATACATTCTTCAACAGGTTCAGTTCAGGAACAAGATCTACATCTTTCTCTAATGCCCACAGTCATATGGACATGGACCTCTTCTGCCATTGGCTTTTTGTCAGCCAGATCAGAGGATGGTGCTGCGCCCTCCGCCTTTCATGTCTTTCTCTAGAAGTGAAGTTAAGAGGCAACTGGAGAGAATGAATCGCAATAAGTCACCAGGTCCTGATGGTGTCAGCCCTCAGAGCCCTGAAGGCCTGTGCAGAGCACCTCTGTGGGATTCAATAGCACCTCTTTAATCTTACCCTGACCCAGGAGACAGATTCAATGATGCGGAAGACCTCCGGCTTTGTTCCAGTACCAAAGAGGACTCAGCTAACATTCCTCACCGACTATAGACCTGTTGCCCTGACATCCCACATCATGGAGGTCCTAGAGAGACGTCTGTTGGTTCACCCCAACAAACAAACAAGCAGGTATCAGGACCCTACATTTGGCTTATCGCTTGGAGTTGAGGATGTCCTCATACACCTGCTTCAAAAACCCCAAGTCATTCAGACAAGGAAGACAACACTGAAATGGTCACGTTCTTTGATTTCTCTAGTGCATTTATTACAATTTAGCCTGACTTACTTTGTCAGAAACTCCACAAGATTCAGATGTAGGCATCAGTGAATGTCTGGATCAAAGACTACATGACACACTGACCACACTTGAGAGACTGAAGGGTCATCTGTATAATCAAGTAGGCAGCAACACAGGATAACCACACAGGATAGTACTCTCAGCATTCCTCTTCACTTTGTACACCTCTGACTTGCATCACTAGACAGACTCCTGACTATGCAGTTGTTGGGTTCATCAGAGATTGACAAGAAGCAGATTGCAGTGACCCGATTACCAGCTTTATGGCAATGTGTGGAAACAATCATCTTATTCTGAATGTGAACAAAACAAGCGACACAATTGTAGATTTCAGAAGAAACAGGAACAAGAAAGTTAAACCCTGTTAACACTATAGAAGAAGAAGTGGAGATGGTGAGGGAGTATGATTTATAAAGCTGTTGGAGTTCTTCTTCTCTTAAAGAAGCTTAGATCTGTCAGTGTTTGCTGCAAGGGGCTCCTTATCTTCTATAAATCTGTCATGGAGGTGGGATTTCTTCTGCCATCATCTGCTGGGGTAACAGAATTAGAGCAAATTTAGTTTCAAAATAGCTCAACAAGTTGATAAACAAAAGGCTGACTCTGTTTTTTAAAGCTCCTTTAGGGTGAAATTAAAAACAAATAGACAACCGTGAGTATCCTGTTCAGAAGACACCAACACCAAGTGTCTTCAGTCAGAAACATCTGGTACCAGACAGACCACTACAGAATCATCCTTACTCACAACTATCAACATCTACAACAACTCTTTAAAAATAAGATGAAATACTAAAGCATTTAATTTGTATAGAACTTTATTTCATGTATTCAAATCAAATAAAAATGCCATTATAATTAGTGTTGCATCGATACAGATACCAGTATCGGGTGGGGCCCCGATACTGCAGTAAAATGGTGGTATCGGTATCAGCGAATACCGACAAATAGGGCATCGATACCATTTTGAGAGCCAAAAGTTTATTCAACTACTGTCACCCATTCCAGGTAGGCTAATGGATTTACTTATTAGTCTTTTTCCTGCTTCACAAAGGTAGACAGCAGCTTGAAAAAGCCATGATGTCAACTACTTTACATCCAAGTAGTATGCAGTTCTTCATATATACACACACACACGCACACACACATCAGTTTCAAACAGATGGTATCGGTATCTGCCAATACTGCACAGCAAGGGATCGGGTATCGGTATTGGGGCCAAAAAATGGCATTGGCACAACACTAATTATAATGTGCTTTTTTGGTGCAATTTTAAAATTCATTCTTAATTTGCTCATCTTTCCTTCCCCAAAGATCGCAGCTCATCTATAATGGTAAATATCTTATAATGTATATAATCTAAATATCTTTACTCAGGCTTTACAGTATGATACAGAATATTCTACACATTAACCTTTCATCACGTTTGTTGCAGATAACTTCATAGGAATGAATAGCCGTCCCAGTAGAGAACTGGTAACTTTTTGATAAATCTGTGCATTAAGCACTTTGAAGTGAGATGACAGACAGTGTGCTTTCATTGAGGTCTAAATTTTCTTCTCTCTTTTAAACTCTACCATAACGAAGTTACCTGTTAGTGATGAAGATGGCTACCATATGATCACATCCATCCCTCCAGCTGATTCTGCAACCGGTGAGCTGGTTGTTTTTTGTCTTGTGACATTAGGTTAAGAGTTCCTTTGTGGGGAAATGCATAGGTTTGTTTCCTATTTTACTGCTTCTTATTAGCTTGTATTTATTTGAGTTTGTAATTACAATATTGACATTTAATAAAAAAGCATCTATAAATCATTTTGCTTCTGAAATAATTAAACTATTTTAGCTACTTTTTAAACTTAGAAACATAATGAGTATATAAGGTGCTATAAATAAAATACTTGGTTTATGCTTTTCTAGAGCCCATTGAGGGGAACACACAGGACTCTCCAAATGAGAACGTAAGTTAGATGGAATGATATTCAACTCAGCATATTCACTATAAACAGAAATACACCATTTCAAAAAAGCTTTTGTTTTGTTTCTTTAACTAGACTGATGTCTACCACGTGTATTCTACCATCACCGATGAACCAGCTGAATCTACCGCAGAAAGTCCGATGTACTGCTCTCTGCAAGCTCACTGAAAAGCTGTTTTTATGAAGCAGAAAAGCTCAACTATGCATCAATAATATCAGATATATAACAATTTATAGAGGTTGTTTTTAAGAGATGAAATATTTCAGTTCAGCTCCTATCAACTTAAACTTTAATTTTAATGTCCCCTGAGGGAAATTTAATTTGCAGGAGGATAAAAACATAAAAGGAAAAAAATAATAACATGGAAATTAAATCAAGTAACTTCACAAACACCACATAAACAAGCAACAACAAAGACAACTGGAGGCAGGACCATTATTAAACATCACAACTGTTCACTTTCAAAATTCAAGTTTATTTGTAGGATTTCTTGGCTTAAAAATTAGTATTTCATCCTGCTGGATTGAGCTTTTGGCACTCAGAATCTTCTGATTGAGGCAAGGAGCCAAACGTCAGGGTGGAGAGGATGATCAGAAGTCTGTATGATGGCTGAGCCTTAGAGTTTACCCTCCCATGAAAGTTTTACTACTTTTACAACCTTTGTAATATTGTGTAATTGGTAGATAGAAAACAATTACTGTACACTACTGTACCAAGTGATGAGGGCAAAGGTCAGGGAAGATTTAACCTTTGGGGAGATAGAAAAGTTTGCAAATCCTGAATTTGTTCAGCACCCAGAGAATGTTCAGTCGCTGCAGAACTTTTTTGCACACAGCAAATGTATTTTCAGTAAAACACAAGTTACTGTCTAAGACGACACCAACGTAAATAAAATAACTGACACACTCCACCCACTCTTCAATAATTAAAGTTAAAGGTAGTGGGTTTGTTTCTTTCTGAAATAAATACACATATCCTTGTTTCTTGTCTAGTTTAATTTTAAAAAAGATTTGTCACACCAATGAATAGAATGATCTACCACTCAGCCCCAGGGCTGAATCCACTCCCTGTAGTAAGCTCAGTATGACTGAGTCATCAGCAAAGTTCATAATATATCTTTCTGAATGCAAGATTCTACAGTGATCAGTGTACAGGATGTATAATATTTGTGAAAGGACAAAACCCTGTGGGAAACCATTGGAGGAGAGGGATAGAGAACTCTTGATAGAACATCAGATAGAGAACTATTGACTCTGAGATGGTGTGATCTGTTTAAAAAAATAATAAAATAACAAGATTCAGACAACAATATTAGGACATTACTTAAAATGTACAAATAATTTACATGCTGAATTATGGGTATGGATTGTATTAAAGACCAAAATGAATATCCATAAACAGTAAATGTGTGTGGAAGGTGGAATGTTGTGCCTTTAAGGTGTATAAAGTTAAAAATCAGACATCATTCCCCACTTTGGGCGCTACACCTGTAACTGTCTGTATTTTTCTTCTTCTAAACATCGTAAATTAAAACAAAGATTTATGACTGTATACAAGGAGCGTTAACATACCAGTCTATTAATAAAGTTATGAAAATAGAACTGGTTTTACATCTGGCTTCTTCTTTTAGCCTGCGCCAACAGACAAACTCTTTTTCATAATCGACTCATGTTTTTCTCCTTTTAGACTCCTCAGAAGGTTTAAACTTTTTTCCTTGCCTCAGCTATGATCACCAGTCAAGCAGGAGAAAAAATACTAGAGAAAAAGCCTTAGCTCCATGACTATATAACCTGTGGCTGTAAAGAGATATGTTCTTCCAGGTCGCATGACCTGGCCAATGATGGTCTGTGTTCTCCCAACTTACATATTCTGTATTTCAAGAGGGGAGCCCCGCTTGTAGCATTGATAATGTCAAGTACTTTATACTGTAATAGCGTTAGGAATAATTTAAAATAACTCATATGCGTCAACTCTTTTGGTCACAAAGTCCACGGTGTGACTTCAAGGTTTTGCCAAGGTGCCTAGATTATATTTAGATACAGGTTTTAACGAGGCCACATCTAAATATTTTAGGTGTCAGATTTATATTTACTGATGCACTGTTTGTTTCCTGTTGCACTGCATATGCAGTAGTTTTAAACTCAACTTTGCAAACTGGGTGTTTTCCTTTAGGTTGTTCTAGAGAACATAATTAATGGTTCCACCATCATTCTACAATTATGTTTGATGTCTAGTTTTGGTTTTTGTGTTGTCTTTTTTGGTTTGGTTGTATTTTTTTAAGGCTTTGTCAATTTTACCCATGATGTGAACATAAGTTCACAAGAAAAGACATATTTATTCTCAACTGTGCTTGGGCTGTGGATGATCAAGATGTCATTTTCTAAAAAAATATATAGTATAGATGTTCACATTCATTTTGCTTAACAGAAGTATTTGTCCTGTAAAATCTCCAACGGAGGGTATTAGGCAGAGTCTCTTTTTCTTTGTAGTATAAGTGATGCCTGCAGCTTTGATTTAGTCGTGGATGCACTCTGAGTAATTTTGGTAAGTTAATCCCATCTAGAAGAGCTTGCAACCATTCGAGTTTTGCATTTGTTCACATAACAGCTTTCACCATAGTCTGCTGGGGTTTAAAAGGCCTAAAAAATGTTTTGAAGTTGTTCCACACTGACAGATGTTGGGACTTTGTTTCATATGTTCAGTAATTCTTCAGACTGGAGCAAAACTTGTTGCTCTCTGGGATATTTTAACCTACTTCATGAAATCAGAGAGGCTCTATTTCAGTAATTTCTTAGTTTAGTAGTTTTGGCATCAATTATACTTAATGGTGGAGAGCCAATCTGACCCTAAACAAAACTGTTAGAAAACATTTAAATATGAACTTGTTAAAGTTGGCACAGTTTGGTGATTTACTTTTTTAATATCCATCTTTGTTTTACTGCATTTTAAAATAGTTTAACGTAACTTAGTGCTAAAAGAAAATAGCAAATAAACTTTAAACTGTAACTATTTGTACTTACAAGAGAACTCACTGCCTTACAAGTGTCATTTAATCACCTCCTTCTTCCATTAATATATAATATCATACATGCTTTGATGTACATCGTCCTGTTCTAAATAAAATGAAATTAAGATCATGAATTGTTTTCATTTCTGTCTGTTAAAATATTTTTTCTCAACCTGAAAACAATGCAGGAACTACACCTTAGAAAAACTAACTTTCAGGAATTTTATCAGAATTTTATGTGATAGACCACAACACATATAAAGTGGAGAAAAATACACATTGTTTTCGTAAAGATTAAAAAAAAAAAATCAAAAAAGTATGCATTTGACTCTAGCGTCCTTGAATCAGTGCTTTGCAGACTGTACTTTCACTGCATTGATCACCAAGCTTTATTAATTATGTTTCTACCATTCTTGCACATCTGGAGAAAAAAGACAAAAATGCTTTACTGGCTTGGGGATATCTGGGGGCAACTATTTTCAGGTTTTTCAAAGGAATCTGTCTCGGAATTAGGCTTAGACTTTAACGTGGACAGTTCACTTCTAAAATGTGCTTTAATTTAAACTTTCATATTTTAACTGATGTGTGGTAGATGTTGTTCTGTTTAACACTACCATTGTTGCCAGTCTTAATTCTTTTAAACCCTCTAACAGGTTTTCTTCTATTCTTGGCAAGGAGGAAGAAAGCTGCTTTTCATAGTGTGTTTTAGCTGTATGATTTTAGCTTTGACTCCTTCCTGGCAAATGTCATAAAGGTTAAAACTGTGCATTCAGGGTTTTTAACTGTATGTTTTTAACATCGAACCTTTGGATGGATATCTTTAAATTAGCTTTTCTAAACCCATAGACACAAATAGAATAAGTTTGAGAGATGATAAAATATAGAAAAGGTAAAAAAAATCATTATGGGTTTTGACTTCCTCTGTTGTTCTCCAAAGTATTTTTGATTATTATATTCATGTTTTTTTTTTTCTTTTGTTTCACAAGATCCTTTCATATTAGCTTTTGACTGATTTTCATAATTAATGTCTTGGTTTGATGCTTAAAGTGTAATTATTAGATCTGGTTAGAGTTTCTGTTTAACTATGCTTTGATGTAAAATTGTAATTGAAACACATTTATCAAGATCAGATTATTAAATATCTAATTTAAAGGTATTGATGTTTTATTCAAATCTTTTACAGCCTGGTTTCCAATTATTGATAGAAATACTCATAAATTGTGATGCAAGCATAAGATAAGAGAGAACAAATCAGTCACTCTCTGTTTTGCCAGGGTGTGGCAGTGTTGATTTAATTTTTAGGTATTGTACAAGCTATTTAAACAGGAAATCCACGTAGAAGAACATTAACTGAGATAGAATCAGAATAGTTATTTATGAAATGTTGCAAATATTTTATTATGTGTAATTTGTCCATCCATCTGTGCTAAGCTTTTACAACAATTTGAGTTGAAATGGACAGATCTGATGTTTGTGTTTAATCTGACTTCTTCTATAGCTGCTTTATCAGATTCTATATTAATGTTCCACAGGATTTTTCATGTATAGTATAATTCTTTATATGTACTGTGTAATTAGTTAATTTGCACACTGGATTTTCCACGGTCTTTGTCACAATTTCTAGTTATATGTTGTGTTTTTAAGAAACTTAAACAATAGTTTAGACATACAAACACATAACCAGCTTACCTGCTCATGTTTTCATGGTTGCTAGTTTCTGCTGTGGTCAATAGCTTCTAAACCACAGCTACAGACAGAATCATTTAGGTCACTGGGCTGTCAGTGATGTTGATGTGCAATAATAATAGATGTGGTTTTTCTTAATACAAATACAAATGTGTGAAACAAACATTTGGCATTCAGAGTCTGATCATTGCTTGTTCGGGTTTGGAGGGCATTTCTTCATTATGACAAAAATGAAGTTGTTCATCATCTTTATCTGTAAGTTATTTATAAATATTCAACAATAAATTTAAAAACAAAAATGGATCTGTCAGTTCAAAACTTTACATGTGTTTTATTATACTTGATAACCTTTCTTGCATTCTTGCACTAGGTTCCATTCATGGGTTTGGGGCTGAAGGTTAGTTGGAAAAAAAACAACATTTTTCTTAGTACACTGAGAGTCACATTTTATGTTTGGTTTAATGCTTATTCTATGACTGTTCAGCTTTGAATCTGCCTAAACTAACAGCGAGTCATTCAGTGATCATAGAGACAGTCTTGGTCACCCTGAACTGTGGTCCACAATTTTCTTCTGACCATTTTTTCTCTTTTGACAATATTATTTAATTTTTACAACAACAAACTTGAATCTGAAATATTAATTTATCATGATTTTTGTCATACCTCAACACATTGTAGAGCAGAGGGTCCCAAATTAGGGGGTTGGCCACAAAATATGTGGGAGATTGTGAGATGGTTTTCACAATCCTCCTAATTTAATTGTTGACAAATAAAGAGGGACAAAATATAAAATGATATGAATAAATATAAATGTGCCATGACATAAATATATATGTCGACAGTGGCATCAGATGTAGGAGTTTGCCCTGAAATCGAAATCGAAGGATTGCCGGTTCAAGCCCCAGGTCAGGCTTTCAGTGTCGTTGTGTCCTTGGGCAAGACACTTCACCTGCATTGTCTACTGATGGTGGTCAGAGTGTATGGCAGCCCCGCTTCTGTCCATGAGCCCCAGGCCAGCTGTGGCTACAATGTAGCTTCCCACCATCAGTGTGTGAGTGTGTGCGTGAATGGGTGAATGACTGAATGTAGTGTAAAGAGCTTTGGTCAAGTCTCCTGACTTGAAAAAAGGTGCTATTTACCATATAAATATATATATATATATTTATATATTATACTATTATTTATTACATTAAATATGTAATTTAATAGTAAATTGCACAAGTACATTTAAGTGAAGAAATACAAAAAAGATACATGTATCTAAGGAAATTTATCTAAAGAAATCAAACTCCATTTATTAATACATATTAAGTTATAGTATTACTTTATATGTATTAATGAATAGAGTTTGAGGTAAATATATGTAATTTTAGAGGACTGGTGGAATATTAGTTGTGATGTCACAGGCTGAAATATTTATGAAGCCCTGATGTAGAGAGTAATTATAAAGTGAAAATTATTGCAAAGTTTTTGTTCTCTTTACCAATAAAATGCTTAAAAGCTAGGCTTTCTTTATACATCCAAGTATTGGTGGTTAATGCCTCCAAATTACTGACAATAGGAATGCTAACCTACGGAGGACCACTGGTGTAAAATAATCCTGCCCAATATTGGATAAAGAATATGCTCCTTTATTAGCTCAGTGTAATAAAGCTTGATCGAATGATACTGTAGGATGTGTTCAGTCTTAGCTGCAGTGAAATTAATTCTTAATGCTGCAGGACATTTTAGATAATTGTATGATCTGGACATGGAGGACAACTCCACACACAAATTGTTGTTGTTGCTTTTTTTTTTCTACCAGCAGCTCTTCCTGAACCTAAACTCACAGTGAATCCAGCAGTGATCACAGAAACAGAAACAGTCACATTGACCTGTGAGGCTCCTTCATCTGTTCCTGTCTCTGAATGTATGTTATATATCTTGGGTGATTCAACTGGACATGAAAGAAACGTTTACTGTAATCAGTCACTGACAGGAACTGAACTACTAGCGAGAGTAGCAAATCCCAAACTTCCTTATGAGGTGAAAGTAAACTGTCGATACAAAGCTATTTCTGGACAAGAGCTTTCTCCATATTGCGACCTATCCAGCATCTTAATTCAAAGTAAGTGACGATTATTGTCATTTGTTTATTATTGTATTCTGGCATAATAAAACACACAAATATTTTCTGCTATAATTATTTGTTTCAGAAAAAAGGGAGATGACAACTGAATTATCAAACTTAATTCCCAGCAAAAATTCAGCCAGAGCCACAAGCCAAACAGGTATATTTTTATTTCATTACAGCAGCTACTGTATTAGTTTGAGCTGACTTTCTATTCAGCAACAATATTGATAGAATTTGCTTTTCATAAGGATTCAAGTATAATATTACATTTATAATCACAATACTTGCTTTACAAAAACATTATCACTCATATTTCATTTGATCTGTTTTGAAGCAGACAATATTACAGATAAACAATTATCTTTGGATAACGTCTCCAAAAAGAGAAGTTCCTCGAGACCATTATCAGGTAAATAGATAAATACTGTTCTGGATCTAATAACACTCATTCGGGACATATAGTACAAGTCGGATTCATTTTGAGCTTTAGATAAGTGTTTTTTTTAATATAATTTCTTAAAATAGATCAATAAAATAATAAAGAAAACATTTTTTTTTTTTTTTGAAAAAGCACTGGGTGGATATGTTTGGATGTATCTTGCTTCTCTCAATTCCACAATGGGTTAATATTTTAACTACAGACTTAAATACAAACCCACACAACAGCCAATGTTTGCTAAATTGTGCCTGAATAACACCTTTACAATAGTTCTCGCTACATAGTTTAACTGTAATCTTGCAAAAATTGACAGCAGCTCTATCAGTTTGTTACCTCTGAAGTACTTGACTTTCAAAATAGTTCATAATTGTAATGGGTTAAGGTCATAGGTATTGTACAAAATTAATAATTATATTCTGCTTCCTCAATTACGTTCCAGTTTTTATTATTTCTAGACTTCTGTTTGAGCATACAGTTGAGTCCAAAGTTCAACCATCTAGCTCTTAAGTTAAAGTAAATTCTGATTATTTGATGTTGACCCTGCTTCCTCCATATTCTGTAAGCTTTATATGAATTTACAGTGCTGTTCCACAGCTTGATGCTTCTGCCTCCATGCTTGATGACTGGACTGTGTCCTGTATGACAATAAAACATTTTTTCACAAGCAGTGGTTGGCACAGTTCCTCTAATAGCTCATCTAATGTGGGATTTTTCATTTTTTTGCTCCAGGATGAAACTCCACCACTGCAAATGTAGTGGATTACAGTATGAACCTTTATGATTAAGACGCTTAAACAGCTGCTGAAAAGATATAAAGAAACCAGGAATGGGAGGCTAATCCAGAACTTATTGGTAGTTTATCTGAAGGACTACTATCCTTGTCACATGTCAAAATAAATTTTAAACAAATAAAGTTAATTAGGTTCTCTGGAGCAACCTTCCCAAAGCCTACCCCATGGCTTTTACTGTAAGTGAATTTGATGAATACACTTTAAAGCAGTGGATCCTGCACTGTTTTTTTTTGCTTGGCACCCCTTTGGTTTGCAAGGAAGTTTTCAGGACATCCTAAACCCCCCCCCCGAAAAACATTTACAAAAGTCAACTTCTTCAGTTTTCGCTGATATATATATATATATATATATATATATATATATATATATATATATATATATATATATTTTATTTTTATTTATTTTTTTCTTAAAGGTTTTCTCTATTTGAATGTTAGTAAAGCGTCTTGATGTTTTTGAATAACATTCAAATGGTAATTTTATTGACATTGTTAACAAAGTTAAAGTGAATAACCCACATTCAAGTTCGCATTCTAATAATGCTGTACATGACCCTCTGTGAATCATAGACAACCCATGTTTGGGGCATTACAACTCATTGTCCCCAGATTTATGACACTAGTCTATGGTGACGAAATATGAACTTCTAACCTAAAAGTGTATTCAACTAAATTAAATTATATTCTATTGTATTCTATTCTGGCAAGACTTCTATCCTTATTTTTAAAAATGTGTGTTTTGTCATAAGAAGAAAAGAGCATGTAACTTTTTGACTGCTATTGTTCCAACAGTTTTACTGGTGGTATTGGCTGGTATTGGGTCAGCAATTGGCATTATCTTCCTCGGTCTCATATTAAGGATTCAACAGCGAGCTGGTGAGAAACATTTATATATGTACACGCAACATATTATCTAAGTATTTGCCATATTGTCTTAAATTGCTTAATTACATAAAACTGGACAGTGTCTGTTTCTTATGCTTAGCTTAGGTTCATGTTAAAACATAATATGATCCGTAATCTTGTACAAGAATCTTCGCTCTTCACTTAGAGCTCTAGAAATTCAAATTGGGTCAGTCTTTAACAGATTATAAAGTAGCCCTGTCTCTCTTTCGATCATTCTTAGCTGAAACATTTTGAATTTCTATAGATGAGTGGGTAAAAAGCCCCAGACAATTACAGTGGACTTGGAGTAACGGTAAAAAAAAAAAAAAAAAATACAATTCCTACATTTTATGTAATGTATCTTTCATACAGTAAGTAGTGTTGGCTGCAGAACCAGCTCAGGTAGTTAGGTGAAGCTAAAGTAGATTTAATGGCTTAAACCATACCTAACTGGCTTTAGCCCCACCCACCCTCCAACTTTCATCCAATCGGCAGTAACATTGCTGTTTTGCAAATTTAGTGACTTAGTCACTATATTTTGCAACATTCCAGAACACTTTAAGTAATCTTTTTCTAACAGTCCACTAGCCAAAGACCTAGCAACGTTTTTTATGTGATATTGGAAACTCTGCAATGTCACAAAGCACTGACCAGGTTGGTGCAAGTAGATGTTGTGTGTCCCTCCCTCTTCCAAACCAATGACACTCAGAGTCTGTGCCCCTCTGTTTCCCCATTAAAATGAGTCACACATGCACAAAGCCTCCAATGATCATCCCTAGAGAGATGTACAATATGAAAATAAGAGTTATTCACAACAGTATTTAATGAAATGTTGCAGTGAAATGCATCACTCCATGGATCTAATTCTGCCTGTCCACTTTTTGCCTCTATTAACCATCTTTAAGTTGTATTTGTGTACATAAGATTGATTCATGTAGTTTTGGTTCATGAAAAATATAATTGAATCCTGATGTTATTTTATATATTTCATATTAAGCTTTAAAAGTTTATTTATATATATATATATATATATATATATATATATATATATATATATATATATATATATATATATATATATATATATATATATATATATATATATATATATATATATATATATATATATATATATATATATATATATATATATATGAATAATACCTATTTATTCTCATGACATACAAATGTTTGCTCACAAAATACTAATTGGGTCCCATGAGGTGCAGCAGCCTACCCATTTGTTCCCACTAAATACCACTCTACAGTAATTTGTGTACACAGAGTACTTTTTGTGGACATACTAAGTTTAGCATTACCTCTTTCTAATTCCATCATTAAAAATTTCCTTTTAAGTCATGCATTTTCCCATCTATGTTCTTCCTTGGTAGAGCACAGAAGTGCAACACTGGCTACATTTTATTCCACAAGCACCTGCTGTCGCCCATCATAGTTTCACTGATTAATATACTGAAGAATCGACAAACCAGCCATTTGTAAACTATAAAAAGCAGTGAGGCCCAGAACTTTGAGGGGTAGACTTAAAGTTAGAGCCTGTTGATATGAAGGCAGAGCAGAATTGAGTCTATATACATACAGCCAGACCACAAACAAAGCATCTGCTCAGACAATCAGTCTTCAGCAGGTGTATATATGTGCTTTGCAACTCCCTACGCCGCTAAGTAAAAAAGGAGAAATTATCTCTGATCAGGTCAGGGCCAGAGGTCTCTGTCATTCATCCATTCATGCACACACTCACACACTGGTAGTGCCAAGCTATATTGCAGCCACTGCAACCCTGAGTCTCAGTGACAGAAGTATACTGGCCCTGTATACTGGGACCACCGGGACCTCTGACCACCATCAGTAGGTGAGTGTGGGTACCAGTGTTAGGGTTCTGCCCTCTGTTTAAGTTTATTTTAAGTTTATTTGTAACTCTGTGTCTTTGTGGTTGTTTTCTTTCAGTTTTGCATTGCTAGACTTACTCTCTGTTACCCCCTTGCTCCTGTTCCTTTATCCTTGGCTCCCTTCTAGTTAGTTCTATTCACACCTGCTCCATATCAGCTCTTTAGCCCATTCTTTGTTCTGTTCCCCATATTTACACCACCTCTGCAATTCCTCATTGCTGGTTTCTTGTTACTTTTTTGCTTCATCTGTCTTTTTGCTCCCCATGTGTGTTTTTCCCTGAGGTTTACTTGATTTTTGGTCTTCATTATTGTGGATTTTGCTTCAGTGGCATGTGGAATTCTTCCATTAGATCTGCAAACTCATCTCTGCCTTCTCATGTCTGTATTTGGGTCTTCAAAAACCCCACTCAAACTGACAACCCGATTATAATAAAGATACTGAAGTAGTGAGATATGAGGTGGAATATCCCTTAAGGAATCCAGCCAATTGAAAGTCAACTTAAGATTTATCTTTTGTGTTTATTATCATTCATGTGATAGCTTTTGGATTGTACATGTTTTTCAAGAGGGGTTGGGATTTTGGCTGGACAAGAATGTCAGTGAACCATAGCACAATTGCTGCCTTACTGGCATGATAGATTAAATGGTGGCTAGATTAACTCAGCTGTTTCTTAAAGGCAGGAGACTGCTTCTTTGGCTGCGTTCACACTGCAGGCCTTGATGCTCAATTCCGATTTTTTTTGTGAAATCCGATTTTTTTTTGTTGCTTTGCCGTTTACATTTCCAAATATATGCGACTTGTATGTGATCTCCTGTGTGAAATGTAGTCATACAACGCAAGTGTCTTGCATGCGTAGTAGAGAATCCAGTGACATCACAGGCTGGCGTGCTCTGTGTTTACGGAAGTAAGCATGGATGGTAGTGCCAGAGCGCATCTAGCGATCTTTCCCAACCACAAAAAAACAATCTTTTCAAGATGGTGAAACATAAAAACTGCTCTGCGCATCATTATCCACCATGGTTGTTGTTTTTCTTGCAGCTTCCTCATAGCAAGACCCAGAATAGTGACCTTTGTCGGGTATTACTTTACTTTACTTGGATTTATCACTTTAATTGGACTTTTCACTTTATTTGGATTTAGTTTTTACATATGCATAGATATACATACAGATATATATACAGAAGAGCTACACTCACCGGCCACTTTATTAGGTACCCCATGCTAGTAACGGGTTGGACCCCCTTTTGCCTTCAGAACTGCCTCAATTCTTCGTGGCATAGATTCAACAAGGTGCTGGAAGCATTCCTCAGGGAGTTTGGTCCATATTGACATAATGGCATCACACAGTTGCCACAGATTTGTCGGCTGCACATCCATGATGCGAATCTCCCGTTCCACCACATCCCAAAGATGCTCTATTGGATTGAGATCTGGTGACTGTGGAGGCCATTTGAGTACAGTGAACTCATTGTCATGTTCAAGAAACCAGTCTGAGATGATTCCAGCTTTATGACATGGCGCATTATCCTGCTGAAAGTAGCCATCAGAAGTTGGGTACATTGTGGTCATAAAGGGATGGACATGGTCAGCAACAATACTCAGGTAGGCTGTGGCGTTGCAACAATGCTCCATTGGTACTAAGGGGCCCAAAGAGTGCCAAGAAAATATTCCCCACACCATGACACCACCACCACCAGCCTGAACCGTTGATACAAGGCAGGATGGATCCATGCATTCATGTTGTAGATGCCAAATTCTGACCCTACCATCCGAATGTCGCAGCAGAAATCGGGACTCATCAGACCAGGCAACGTTTTTCCAATCTTCTATTGTCCAATTTGGATGAGCTTGTGCAAAAGTGTAGCCTCAGTTTCCTGTTCTTAGCTGAAAGGAGTGGCACCCGGTGTGGTCTTCTGCTGCTGTAGCCCATCTGCCTCAAAGTTCGAAATACTGTGCGTTCAGAGATGCTCTTCTGCCCACCTTGGTTGTAACGGGTGGTTATTTGAGTCACTGTTGCCCTTCTATCAGCTCGAACCAGTCTGGCCATTCTCCTCTGACCTCTGGCATCAACAAGGCATTTCCGCCCACAGAACTGCCGCTCACTGGATGTTTTTTCTTTTTCGGACCATTCTCTGTAAACCCTAGAGATGGTTGAGCGTTAAAATCCCAGTAGATCAGCAGTTTCTGAAATACTCAGACCAGCCCTTCTGGCACCAACAATCATGTCACGTTCAAAGTCACTCAAATCACCTTTCTTCCCCATACTGATGCTCGGTTTGAACTGCAGGAGATTGTTTTGACCATGTCTACATGCCTAAATGCACTGAGTTGCCGCCATGTGATTGGCTGCTTAGAAATTAAGTGTTAACGAGCAGTTGGACAGGTGTACCTAATAAATTGGCCGGTGGGTGTATATGTGTATATATATTTTATCTCTTTTTATTGTTATTTTTTATCTTTATTATATTGTATAGTTGGATGTGTGTATATATCATGTAAAACTGTAACTGGAGCGTGTAACAAAAGTAATTTCCCTTAGGGATTATTAAAGTATTTCTGATTCTGATTCTGATTAATGACGTTAAGGTCGGAGGAATGCGACCTGGCCGTTCAGACACAGGTTGCATTTTAAAAGATCTGGTTCATATCACATTCAGGACCACATAGTCAAGTGGCCTGGAACGCATTGGAAAAAATCGTATCTGTGTTGTTCAGACAGCCATAAAAAGATCAGTTAGAGGTTGCATATGGGCCCAAAAATCGGATTTGGGTCACTTCAGGCTACAGTGTGAACGTAGAACTATGTGTCATGATTCAGAACAGAAGGACCTAATGTTCAGGTGAGAAAGACAGTGGGATTACTCAAAAAGCTTTTATTAAAACACTGGGCTGTGAGAACAGCTGCTAGGATTTCTAAGGAAGGACATTTGGAGAGAAGAAAAACACAGAGAAAACCGAAGAACGAGGTAGGATCCAGTCGGTTGGTTGGCAGCAAGAGTCCGAAGCCAGGTCAGGAAAACCGATCAGAACAGGAAGAGGCAGGCTCAGACATCCAGGAGTCTGAAGCCAGGTCTGGCAAAACG